ATTTCCCTTTGTTATCTCCATGGGTTGACCCCCAAACAAAACAAACAAACACACACAAAAAAAAACTGATACTAACCAACCAGATGCCCACCAACTGGATGCCCCCTGGAATCTATGAATTTCCATTCAGCCACAGAACCTAAAATAACCTCACAGAAGTGTAAGTTATGTCAGACAACTATCACGAAATGGTGCCAAACTGCAACCAGGTCCTGATTAGATTTGTGTAGGAGAACCAGAAGCTGGACTCCTGGCAAGCTGGCAATAAAGGTTCATTACAGTCCTTTGATTAATCTTGAAATTATTCAAACCTGCATATTTTGTAATTAAGTTTATTTTAGTAAACATTTTCCCATAGTTAGTGAATATTCATTGCAGTATATATCTGTGTTGTACTTTCTTTTCATTTACTTCCCTATCAATTTTAGAATTTGGGGGTTATAAAATTGGTCTTTGGGTATTGAAAATTATTTTACAATTTATACATTTGTAAATAACATCTTTACTTATAATTCTAGATGTATGAATCATCAAGGAATCAGCTGTGTAAGGGGTCAGGAGTAACACGGTGTGATAAGAGATATAAGGCTTTGGGAGCACAGAAATAATCACCTAATCTATTTATAGGACATTAGAGCTGAGGATGAGAAGAGTTTACTAGGTAAATCTATGAATAAATGGTGTGAAATTGCAACAGCAACAGCAAATAAACAGGGACAGATAAACTGTAGCTTCCATGGACCAGGGGATGTTGTACATTTGGCTACTGTGTATAGATGAAGGAGACTTAGACTGGAATAAGAGAATGAAAATCTAAGGCCATACACTAAGGATATGTAGCCTAGCCGATGTGGCTCTGTTGGATGAGCATTGTCCTGTTCATAGAAATGTTGCCAGTTCAATTCCCACTCGGCACAGTTTCAGTTTCTGGTTGGGGCATGTACTGAAGGTAACTGATTGATGTTTCTCTTTCACATCGATGTCTCTCTCCCTCACTTTCTCTCTCTCTAAAATCAATTTTAAAAATGTACTACAAAAGAAAAATAAAGAACATGTAAATCTTGTTAAAGAGTTTAAAATTTATCCTGAGAGTAATAGAAAGCCTAGAAAAATTTTAAATCAAGGAAATGCCACAAATTTATAACATATTTTAGAATGGATAGGATAAACATTGGGGAATGAGAAAGTTACAAGTAAGATATGAAGATTGAAATACACACCAATGGACTATGAAATAGGCAGGTGTATGTTAAAGTTTAAGCAAGATGAAGTCCGTTTTGATCATGTTGACTTTTATTATTTGACTGTGAGCTATCCACTTAAAGGTTTTCAAAAGGAGTTGTTAATGCTAATCTACACAATGAGAAATCTGGGCTGATTAAATGTTTGGAAGTCATTGGTGGCATTTGAAACCATGGAAATAAACATTGACAAAGAAGAAAGTGTGGAATTAGATGGGATGAGGGCAAAATTACATAATCTCAATGCTAAGAAATGGTTCTAACAAGGGAGGGAAATTAGGAGGTATATGTCACAGATACCAAGGAAAGAGAACAAACATTGCAAGAATGGGGGAGGGGAAGGTGACCACTGTCAAATACTCCTGAAAAATCAAGTAAGATGAAAAATGGAAAGTATCCTGTGGATTTAGCAAAAATATTATCAGAATCTTTGGCAGCGTTACACAGAAATGTTAATTACAGAAGACAAATCACACAGACTTAAGGAACCTAGATGTTGAAAAAGTGGCTGTCCAAGAAATGAGGCTCTAATGGTGTGAAAAAGATGGAAGGAAAATGAAAAGAGATAATAAGAGTTCTTGTCTTGGAAGTCAATAGCATTCCAAGTGGTCATTAGGTGGAACTTAATAAATTCCAGAGTCCCCTGAAATTATATGCAAAATTTATATGCATATGAATATGAGCATTTCTTTAAGATATTTATAGTATGAGGTTCTTAAGTCGGAGATCAAAATATTATTAATGAGAGCTCTATATAATATATTAGATACCCATTAGTATTATACACTATATGTACAATCTTTATGACTTGTATAGACCTGAATTTATATATGAGGACACCATATTATTGTGATTGGTTTTATTTAGAACAGGAAAGCAAGTCTTATTACTTTATTATAATGCATACTGTGGTATATTTTATTACAGTTTACTATTATACACAATAGTTTCTGAAGAAGATGATAAATTCCCACCTGTGGTAATACTAATTGAACTACCTTCTGTAGGAGGGGTAAGTGCCCTTTCTGTATTGACATAGACTGGGTCATGTGACTTTTCTTTGTTCACGGGATGTGAGCAGAAGGGGCCATGTCATGACCTAATAGAAATGTGGATGTCATCACAACTTTGCCATGGCCTTTTTCTCTGCCACAAATCCAAGATAGTTGCTATTCCGTCAGCCTTTCTAATATATAGTCATCAAAATCAGATCTTGCCTAATATGTTCACGTCACTATTTTTTAAAATAGTGTTGCCATTTTCAGCCATTCCTTCTTTTCCACTCTATGCAAAAGAAGAACTGCATTAAGAATTTTATTTTTTTTAAACAGAACATGTATATATTGGGTGATGAAAGTATATTACTTAATATGAACCCTGTAAAAAGAAAAATGAGGCTGTACTCCTAGGGGCCTTAAGGAATAAAAAAGGCAAAAATCACAATGGAAAGATTCTGCACATGGAAACTCAGGTGCTCACAGAGGCCTGGAGGTCCTGAGCCTGTGGACCACTCCAAAGAGCTCTTTAAGTTTCCCCACTACATGACAGCTGACTTCCTTCAGAATACTTTTGTCATATGAAGTTGAACAAGTTGAATATGTCTAATTCCTTCATTAATGTCCAAGGAGATAGACTGGGATTGCCATTGCTGAGGCAAATTCGAGAACCCGTCGAAAAGAACAAAAGCAACAAGAAGCTAATTTTAAAAATAGGCAAAAGAGTTTAAAAGAAGAACAAAAAAGATGTTACATTGGATTGAAGACTGCACTAGGCTGTGAAAACAAAGGGTTTGCTTTGCTCCAGAAGATGGGATATAAAAGTGGTCAGGCCCTTGGCCAGAGTAGAGATGTATTGTTGAATTAATTCCTCTCAACACCAAAACAGGAAAAAGTGGCATTGGTCCTAAGGCATTATTGAAATGGAAAACAGAGGAAACATTAGAAAGCTACAAAAGAAAGATTCACATGAAAAACCAAGATAAAGAAAAAGTTGCAGAACAGTTCCAAATGTGACTTAAAAATAAGCAAGATGAAATGAAGCTAGAAGATCTTTGGAGAAGCCAGTGAGCCTATCAACAGTTGGATACTCAGAAGAATATTCAGGTTCCCAGGGAGGCTGGGTACTGGCTGAGGCTTAAAAGGGAGACTGAAGAAAAGGAAGAGGAAGAAAAAGAACATGCTGAAGATGAATATCAGAGTGAAAATTTAAGTGTACTGGACAAATTACAAATATTGGCTGTTGTTTAAGAGGAGAACATCTGTATTCTATTTGGTGTGGAACAGCCTATGAAGATAAAGAAGGCCAGGACCCACTTCTGCAGATCATGACTAAGATTATTCTCAACAAAGTAGAAACTTGGAAAATGCTGTTGTTTTCTAGGCAGTTAAGCAGTTAGAATTTCTCAAATTTTTATGCCAATTTTTTTTTATGTTTTGTTCCTTTTGTACTTTAGAAATACTTTGTACTTTAGAATATAATTGTCACTGACTTCAATAAATTAATGGAATGCCGTTTCAGAACACAAGTATTAGAGACATGAGCCATCACAATTTATGACTCTATTGTGATGCTTATGCAGTTTAAGGACACCAACAGGTAACTCTCTTATTCCCCTCTTCACTTCAGAACAAATTGAAAAATAAGACACGTGGTTCAGATATCAAAATATCAGCTTTATAGTGAGGTCAAGGCCTGGAGTGGGGTGGGAGCTGGGTAGAGGAGGAAAAGAGGGGAACATGGAGAACATCTGTAATACTCTCAACAATAAAAATACATTTAAAAAAATATCACAACAAACTTTAGCATGAAAAAGTAAAGGTATACTCCAGTATAATTTTGTACAAATTAAACAGCATTGTTGTCAAAGAAGGTAGATGTGAATTTGGTTTTAAATGTTCTTTATGAGTTACATTAAGAGTAAAAAGCATGAGTAAATGGCTTGAACAAATATACACAATTTATTTGGGCATGAGGGAAGTGGGAAAGAGTTAAGGGTTGAGAAGAATCATCTGACTACAGAGATGTCCTAGGTACAGAGAAGTAAGACATCTAAATAGTTAGACGTGAGATTAACTTGCTCAAATAGGTGATGCTAAAATTTTCTCTGGTGAAGAAAGTAAAGACCAAAAACAGCATTATGCTAATTGCATATGGAAATAAATAACAGGAAAAGAAGGAATGAAGTAAAACATCTGTTATGTACCTGTTACTTTGAGTTACTGAGCTTCAACTATACCTAACTATGAGATATTTTCATTTATTTTTTTCAATCCTCACTCGATATTTTTTCATTGAATTTTCATTGTTTCAGATAGAGTGGGAGGAAGGGAGGGAGGGAGAGAGAGAGAGAAACATCAATGTGAGAGAGACACATCAATTGGCTGCTCCCCCCATGACCCCAACCAGGGCCAGGGATTGAACCGCAACCTAGGTATATGCCCTTGACCAGAATCAAACCCAAGACTCTTTGGTCCTCGGACCAATGCTCTAAGCACAAAGCCAAACCAGCCAGGGCTCACTATGAGATATTTTAAAACTAAAAAAAATAATTATGATGTCATGAATAATGATCAAATAAACATGTAGACAGAGTAATATCAAAATATATCTCTTTGTATGTTTCTCCTTCATCTGCAGACAAAACTATATTTCTTTTCTTTTTATCCATAACTCCTCTAAGTGTACATTTTCTTTGTGTGATGCATCCTCCCAGTAACGAAGGCTTATTATTTATTTATTTATTTATTTATTTATTTTTGCCAGGAAATAGCACCAATGTGGTCCCCCACTACAACAAATTATGCAGTCGAGTTTCCCACATTTGGGGAAATCGCAGAGGTCTACATCCAGAATGAAATGGGTGAGCCTCGCCCTGGGAAAACCACTTCCGTAATCATGCTATCTCCCCTACCAGGTAAGTATGAGGCTCATCATGTTGGAATCTCCATTTCATTCATCCTAAGTTGTGACCTTAATTTAGTATGATACTGAGATTTGTTTAATTTAACCACAAAATATTTTCAGTTTTTCTTTCTTTCTCCCATTGTGACTCAATATTTTATGTAACATTATTGTAGAAGTTATTTCACTGAGCTTTTTAAATAATCTTAAAGAAGTTCAGCAAGAATAAGAGAAAGTCAGGATATAAAGAAAGTCTTGGGGCAAAATAAACGGACAGGGAGTTGTACTAGGGAGTTGCAGTGGTAAATTATACGTAAATATTTCAGCAAGCAGAGCATTCGAATCCTTGTCCACACATAATAGGCGAGAATCCAGCAGATGAGTAGGGGTGAACGGAATGCTTGGAAGCACGCAAGGTTGATTCGGATATGGACAGAAGCAGAACTTCAGCTCGTGGGAACTTGCAAGAGCAAACAAGGACACCTGCCCGAAGTAAGGAAATAAAATGTATTATTAAAAGTATTAATTAAGCAGATTGCCTGGTTTCAAATGTATCATAGGCTAGGTGACCTTAGGCAAATTATTTAAATTTTCTATATTTCCCATTTCATTGTGTGTAAAATAGGGATAAAATAGTACCTACATCACAGAATTAAAAGAGATCATTTATAAACAGAGCTAAATAAATGCCAGCTATTATTAGAATCAGTAATTTCAGACCTGAGAAACCAGGCAAAATCTAGTACTGTATTTTCAAATGAGATAAAAATTAGAGGTCACAGTAGATCAAATTTGTTTAAGCAGATGAAAGTCAGGGATGGTCTTGATAGATAAGCATACTTTGATTTTCTCTCTTAATTCTGAGGTTTCATCTAGAGAATATATAATTAAATTATATAAAATTTGTTAACATTTTTTCCATCAACATTCCATTTAGTTTATTAATGAATTTATAAAATACTTTTTAATGTAGTTAGTTATCTTCATCAACTCTTTATCAGAATACAAACATATGGTTAGATTAGACTATTAAAGTAGGAAAATCTTTTATGTGTCCATTATAAGGGAAAATGTATTGGAATTACGCCTTGTTGGACTTCAAATTGTATTCCTAAATCACATGGTATGAAGCTAAGACAGCTTCTGAAAAAACAGCACTACAAATCATTTCCTCAGATGATATCATTCTTTGATAAGACTAGAGGAGAGCTCTCTTCAAAAGAATAAGAACACATGGTAAAATATTAATAATGCAATTATTTTAGGATTAAATATGTTTCAGATCTATAGAAAATATTTCTGTGTTTAAAACAATAAATTATTAATTCATCCAACAAATATTTATTGTTCCGGACACAGTGGATACAATAAATAGAACATACTCTCTTTGAGCAATTGACATAATGATTGTTAAGTTTAGATGAGCAACCTGCCAAGTCAAGCAACAAATATCTACTTAAACTCTTCTAAAGCAGCGATTTTCAACCTTTTCCATCTCGTGGCACATAAACTAATCACTAAAAGTCTGTAGCATACCAAAAATTTTATTTTTTTGCCAATCTGACAAAAAAAAAGGGGGGTGGTAATTTGGACTCATTTACACTGAATAGCTATTGTTGTGTTAACTGTTCTCATTTTTTTATTGTAAATTCTAAGAGAAAAGAAGTCCATGCCCCTGACTAAAGAGTCAAATATTGAGTGTTTTAAAATGTGTGTCTGTCAGGGAACACAGTTGAAAAGCACCATGATAAGGTCTATTTTTATTTTAAAAAGGTAAAGAGTTGTACTTGCTTCAGTGGCAATTTAATAATGCATGCAGTAGCTGGCACGCTGGACTGACTCATGAAAAAAGTTATATATTTTTTTAATGTTAAACTAAAATATGCAAAGATAGCTTGTTCACTTGAATAACTTCTCATACATCAAACACAATATTGTTTACTTGTTTATCCCTCCAACTTCACCAATATGTCATCTATTTGATAGAGTATTATAATATTCTCAGATAACTTCTGATATCAACTATAGTAGTTATGAGAAAATGTTTACATCTCCAAGTATTTGGCTTTTGCATTTCCTTAGGAAAAAAACATTTTATTTTTTATTGTTTAAGACACATTTTTATTCAATTGTTTAATAACATTTGATGAACATTGGTTCTAAGCCTACTGTATCAATTTCCCCAAGTCTGGCTATGGGGGGAAACTGAGGTAGCAGGCTGTCAAGTGAGGATGTAGCAGGAAAGACTCAGGGCAGAAAAATGTAGAAATTTCTAAACATGAATTCTTTGTTGATGTGCAACATTTGGGAAGGCTTTTCCAGAGTTCTGATAAGACTTCAGGTAGAAGGATAAATCCTGCCAAGGCAAGAAACCATTTTCAAAACCTTAAATAAAATGTGAGCTACTAAAAATAATTAATTTCCAGATACTATTTATGGTACAATGAGACACAATTTCCAAACAGAAGGCATATTACAGGAAACTCTTTTAGTATTCTAAGATAATTTGAATATTTGGGTGCATACTATCAAAAATTGAATATTAAAATATATTAGGATTCAAACTAAGAGCTTGTTTTTATAATATGAGAAAATACAGGATAAACTTGATGCTCCTGTCAGACAGTGTTCAAGAATATTATTATATCCTGTTATGTTTACTACCATAAATTTTACATTTTAAGGACTTAATGTGTAATTTATAATTTAGTTCATTTTAGAAGACATTGCTTTATACTTATATCAAAAGCTCTAATTTCAACAAATAGCTCATAATATTCCATATTAAGTGTACTCTAAATATAAGTCCAAGATGCACAGAAGGATTATGCACATTTAAAATTGGCTAAATAATGGAAGATATGACTAATAAAGTAGGTACTGTCAAAACATTGTAAAATAAACATATACATAAGGAATATTTGCCATTTATCAAGTACCATCTCCATGAAATGTTTTAGGCCCAGTCATTCCATGAACAATTGCTGCTTTAACAGTTTCTTTTTGTTTCTCTCTTTCCTCCTCTTTCTTTCCTTCCTTCTCTCTCTCTCTTTTTCTTATCTCTATTATTTATATTTATATGAATTAGAGATGTTATTTCTCTAATTAATTTTTATACCAAGTATTTAAATTTTAGTCTTGCTTTATATTATTGTACATACCTATATTACTTTAAAAAAATTTTTCTAGTTATATTTGTACGTATTTATTTAATTGTCTTTTACTGGAATAATGTATGTACCATGTAAATTAAAGTCTGCATCTCTACCTAAAATTACTTCAAATGATTTTATTAATTACTTTTCTGTCACCTAAAGATATCTTTAACTTATTCAAGTGGGAAGACTATTCAAGCCTCCAGGGTTATCTCCTTAAAACACTTTAGTAAAAACCTATACTTGGTGAACAAATAAGCACATTATATATATATATTTTTTTTTATCCTCATCTGAGGACATTTTTGCATTTTTATCTTCTGATAGAGTGGGGTGGGGAGAGAGGAGAAAAGAGAGAGAGAGAAACATCAAACATGAAAGAGACACATCAACTGGTTGCCACCCACATGACTGCAACCCAGGTGTGGACAAACTGCATCCGAGGTACGTGCCCTTACCGGGAAGTGAACCCAGGACTTTCTGGTCTGCGCGCTGACGCTCTAACCGCTGAGCCAAACCGGCCAGTGCAATAAGCACATTTTAAAAAGGACTAACCACGTCAGCCAATTTGGTAAAGATTAATAAAACACCACTAGCTTAACAAAGCTGTACATGTTTGTGGGTCAGGTACTGTGGGTATCAGCAAAAGTAACCTAATATTTTCTTGCTTTGTCACTTACCTATCATAGGACAAAAGAACTGGATAGATGCACAGGTGATTTAGTGGAGACTAATTCACAATTATTATTTTGTGATTACTTAGACAGTGGGTATTAAAAGAAGTAGTTTGTCCTTTAAAAATTATATCAAGATATTTAGGATAACCTTCAGATGGTGACCTTTGTTCTTTGTCAACTTTGGCTAATTATAGGTCTTGGTTTCAAGGTTAAAAATGTTGTATCCATTATGCTGTCATTTTTCTGAAATAAATCAGTTCTTAAATGATACCCCTGTAGTGAAAGTTTTTCACATCAGGAACTGTTCTGGCCATGCAGTTCACAATTTAATTGTTGTGAAAGGAAAGTATATTAAAATATAGTCATATTAAATGACACCTTTAAACTAAGTGCTACCACTACACTTTCATTTAGAACTTTGAAAATAGAGTAAAGTCACTTTAAAAAGTAATGTAAAAAGACAAAAAGAAACAGAGTAAAACAAATCATTTGCTTATCTTTGTGTGATACATTGAAAAAATGGTTCTATATATTTATCTAGACAGTATATATACACACACGTATATACACACACACACACACATACATATATATTCGTGGAAGACAATAAATTTAAGCATGCTACATTTCTCCAAAGAATTTCAAAGTGGTCAGATCAAATGATAAGTAGAAGGTATGCTGAGCAGGGCTTAAAATTAATTTAAGTTTCTTACTCCTTTTTGTACTGGTAGTGAATTCACATATAACAAACCTGAGAATAATATATAATTTTCATAGTAAGACCAATTCTTGTCTTTCATTACATATGACACCATTCTGTGAACCAAAGAAAAAAATAATCCTTAATAATAATATTAATACAAATAATAATAAAATCTTTCTTGTAAGATAATCAAGCCATGAGTATTACATTCCTTTTTCTGTTTCATATAGTAGTTTAGAATAAAAGCTAAAACTAAACTAAAATATTTATTCCTGTAATCTGCATCTCTGATTAGTTAGAAAATGTTTTCTAATACTAGACAATAAAGAAATGAATATGGACAGTCCATAGTAGCTCAACAAAAGTCATAAAAATTATTTTTTAAAATGACATTCTGAGATCTATTTCAAGAAGTTCTTTATCTGAGAGGGTCATTAGTTCATCATTATGCTAGTTGAGTTTAAAGAATGTATACAAGTTTTTTAA